GCGTTTTAATGGAAACTGGCTCGGTTCACGTACATATCAGAAAAACCACGAAAATTCCCATGCTGCCAGCCCGTTCTCTGAAAGCCCGGGATTCTCTAGAGCCCGGAACAAATTACCTGTGTTGAGCTACATTACCATTCAGCTACTCGTCGACTCGCATCTTGATGGATAGATATGCGCTAGACAAAGGCAATAATGAGCAATGATGGAAGGCCGTTATTGTAAGGGGGTATTAAACGGTACGTTTGCTCATTCCATGTTGTGATTTTTTTATCGAATGATATCGCTATACCTCATCGAAGTAGAACAGTGAAAAGTGCTCTGGTGAGTGAGAATATCCTTTCAATATTCTGAAATGTATGCTTTCTGGACTTTAACCCTATTGAGCACGTATGAAGTATACTTCATACGTGTTGTAATTAAGAAATGAATTACAACTCGCTAGAAAATAAGAAAGCCTTAATATTTGCTGTAATATACGAATGGAACAATTTGCTCAGGAACGCTTAAATCCTAGCTAATAAGGATGCCACGACTTCGTGACTTTGCTGCATCACAGTACGAATCTGACATACTATCTCCTGAAAAGTTAGATTACCAAATAAATGTTTCCACCATTTTTAGTCAAAGTTCGTCTACTTTTGTGTTCAATTTTGCTATACCATGCTTGCTACCAGCGGCGTAGCTAGAGGGGGGGGGCATCTGTCCCCGAGCGCAGAATCCAAGGGGCGCCAAACTAATGTTACGACATTTTAGAATTAAATGTTTTCCATCCTTGGCAAGCAGTAGGGGGCGCGAAATCTTCAGTTGTCCCTGGGCGCTGAAAACCCTAGCTACGACTCTGCTTGCTACCATATCTTTGATTTGTTATTTACTAAAAGCTGTTAGTTATTATTTTGCATTAAGTATCTGTAAATAAATAGTTGTCTTATTTTCCTCTATTTATGTGCGGTTTTCTCTATACATGCAAAAATGTTCTTCAGCTTTAGCTTTAGGATATTTCAACATTGGACACTTTAAAGGACATTTTCGGCACAGGTGGCCTACTCTACCGCCCGTAAACCATGAACAAAAATTTTTCAAAATGATAACATTATTGTACTGTCATGAAACTCACACATGAAAAGCAGCATCAAATAAAGAAATAAATGCAAGGAAATTATACCTACTTATTTTTATTACGTTACCACAAGATTTATTACATTATCAGATTATTATATATTAAAATACATAATTTTAGCAGAAGAATGCACTGACGGGGTCACTATAAAGGACCCATCCTATCCCTCGATGGTAGTCAGTATACTTATTAAAAAAGCAGTTCATCCAATTTAGTATCCGTCAATTGAAGCAGTTCTGTTTAACATTTTTCAATATAAAAAAATGTCTACCGAGACTTCACCGAAACACGTGTTCGCTGCAGTCATCATTATACTTCTGTAATCAGGTTATCGTGTGCGCGTTATCACTATAGCAGGATAAACAAAGTTCGTATGATGACTTAAATGTATCACTTCATTCATACTCGTAACCAAAGGCCAGATTAAGATTTCAGAGGTGTTAAGCAGTCAAAAGATTCTGGTTCCTCTATGTGAATGTATCGTGTTTTTCCCATTTCTTTTCTCTCGGTCTTAGTTTAACTGCTCCATATGGTTCCGTATATTCCACAATGAAACCCGCGCTGGGAAATTTTTCTCCCCTTTCCTTGAATCCCTAAGCCTTATTACTCTTATGCCATAAACACAGGTTTATTTTGCTTACCGTTTAATCCAACTTTGCCAAAAATAAATACATTGTAGGTCCTCTGGTTGCCCAGGCAGATCGTCTGTTGCGAGAGCACCTTTTAAAGGTTAGCAGAGAAGGAATATGTAGAAAGTAATGGAGAAGAAATGCTTTACACTATGGCTGTTTTCCATTCTTTATAAAACTTTCATTCAAAAATGTGTGAGAGTTATGGAACATAGGAAATGTTAAACACCGTTCGGACTCCAATAAGATTAATATTTATTTACATTTTCTGGATATAGAATTACACAGACAGAAAATCAGTCATTGTTCTTTTTCTTGAAGGCTTAACGTTACCACTCTGGCGAAAATAAAATTGTATGCGAGAAGTTTCACAGGTGGCACTTGATTAACGCAAATGATGCCGCCAGGATGAATATCTTTGGAAGAATCATTGTCTCCAGGAAGTGGAGGTGAGATTTTCGAGTTATCAATTTCATGTGTCTGAAGATTTGTTGTTATTTCATTTTTGAAGCTGAAACATGGTTTTCTGTCTACCTACCGATATCCTTTTAGTTTTACCTGAAACTTCCACATCGAAAAATTTCTAAAAAACGTTTTTTTTAACAAAATATGGTCCGAGATAGGGTGGTTGAAGAGAATATTATCTATTTATGTTATCATAGATGAATACGTGTGAAGAATTTGCTAAGTCCTTGTGCAGGAATTTTTTTCTTTTTTAATGGCTGGTTGTTGGTGTTATTTTTAGGTTTTGGATGTAACTTTGCAATTTTTGTATAAAATCTGAATCCGTAACAGTGGGGACATAACTGAAAAATTCTTCAGGCAAACAGATTGGTGAACCGTAGACATATTCAGAAGAGGAACAATGCAAATCCTCTTTAATGGCGGCTCGAATGCCAAGAAGAATCAAAGGTGGAACATCAGTCCAAGACTTTGACGTTTGTAGGTGGGATTTTAGGCTGTTTTTCAAGGTTCGATTTTGTCGTTCAGTTAAACCATTAGATTGGGGAAGCCGTGGCGCTGTTAGCTTTGAAGCCTAGGTATTTGCTCAAGAATCTGAAGAATTGGCTGTCAAATTGCCGACCTTGGTCAGATGTTATCTTCTCTGGGATTCCAGATCTCGAAATCCAAGTCGCGATGAGGGCACGTGCGACGGACTCTGCGGTTTGGTTTTCCAGAGGTATAGCTTCTATTCACCGAGTGAATCTATCGATGGTGGTAAGCAGGTACCTAAAACCTTTGCAAGATGGTAAAGGGCCAACAATATCGATATTAAGATGCTTGAAACGTTGATTGGGAACTTTGAATTCAGCAGCTGGAGCATGGGTATGTTTGTGAATTTTGACTCGTTGTCATTGCAAGCATGCTTTAGACCACAACTGACAGTCTTTGTTTATGCCAGGCCAAATGAATCTTTTTGTCACCAGCTTCGTTGTTGCACGAATTCCAAGATGGGATAAGTTATGTATAGAGAAAAGTACTTGTACGCGAAATTCTTTAGGAATGTATGGCCTGTTAAAATTAGTGGATGTATCACAATAAGTTTTCTTATTGCTTTCCAGAATAGGAATTTGTACTATTTTAAAACTGGGATTTTATTAAGAATCCTGAGGTCTTCATCTTCCTGGCAATCTGCTATAACTATATAATCAATTGGAGCAGGGATAGCGATGGTGTCGATTCTCGATAGTGTGTCAGCTACAATGTTTTCTTCTCCAGAAATGTAGCGTATGTCTGTAGTGAATTCGGCAATGTAGTTCAACTGCCGTACTTGTCTTGGAGAGGCTTTGTCTAAATTTTGGTGGAAGGGGAAAGTGATAGGTTTATGATCAGTGAAAACAGTAAATGATCGTTCTTCCAGAATGTGTTTAAAATGCTTCACCGCTATGTTGTAAGTAGTTCTCGATCGCATGCACTGTAATTTCTCTGAGTTGGTGATAGAGATCGGGAGAAAAAGCTTAACGCTTAACGGTTGTTTTTCATTATTGGATAGTTGATGAATCACGTCCGGGTCACCAATGTGGAAGTCTGGAACATAGGAAATGTTCTGACACCGTTCTGACTCCAATAAGATTAATATTTATTTACATTTTTTGGATATAGAATTACACAGACAAAAAAATCAGTCATTGTTCTTTTTCTTCTTGAAGGCTTAATGTTGCCACGCTGGCGAAAAGAAAATTGCATGCGAGGAGTTTCACAGATGGCGCTTCATTAACGCAAATGATGTCGCCTCAAGAAAAGATACAAATCAAACTGTAAGAGCTAATACGATTTCATTGATCTCTTTTTTTCGTTGATCTCTCTCTGTTTCTTTTTCTTTTCTTTTCTTTTTTTTTTTTTTTTTTTTTTTTTGTCATACAGAAGAGAAGCGCACCAAGATGAAATTCAAAATTAGATAAAATTAGAGCTTAAGTTATTGGTTTAAAAAAAACTGTGTGCATTTAGAAGAAAAGTGACATATTGTTTCACGAATCTCAAAGTTCCTAGGGAGCTCTAAACTTGATGGCGTTGTCCTTCTTCTTCAAGAAGGCTCAAATCAAAGTTGCAGAATAGTTTTGTTTAACGCAGAAAATGACTTCGTGATATTTTCCCACAAAATGAATGTATTTTTCTTATAAAACTGATTGAAATTTCAATTTGACTTTTGTCTGATACTGAGCTCAATATTATGTTCGTGATTCCCTTTGCTTTCACCAATTACTTGAAAGCATTTTATAGATTTTTTAAGAAATATATCATTCCTAATAGTGTCTAAGAGAGCATTATAATGCTTAAATTTCTTGCTGCTAGAAAATTGCTGATATTTTATATGTCTGAATTTCGAATCTTCTTTCATTTACTATTTGAAGAATAAGAACATAAAAGGAACTTACGCGTATTTTTTTTTTTTTTTAATTCAAAAGCCGATCAAAATTTCTAAAGCCAGTTTTATGTTTATAAAAATGAATGTGCCCGAAAATTTAACAATTTATAGGAAAATGTCATTTATTTTTATTAACTTCCATTGAAAAATCCATTGTTTTTAGAAAGATATTACATATAAAGTCTTTTCTTCTGTAAAAACAAAAAAAAATCGACTTCTGATAAATCTAAAACAAAGAAGAAACATAGAAAATGGTTAACGATAATAAAAAAGAATCAGCAAAATTCAAACATTACTGAATCCAATAATTAAAAGCGTAGTAGTTAAAAGCATACCACGCAGGAATTTGGCAACGAAAAGAGGAATACATTCGGTTTTTCTTCTGAAGTTGGCTTGGCTGCCAATCTCCTGTTTTGTTTACCACTGTTTGATGTGTTACGGATTATGTTGACGGTACTGAGTCATTAAAAGATTCTTGATAGCGTAATTATAGAAAAAATATTTCTATTCTTATCTTACAATGTCTGATATCCGTAAAAGAACCGTCGAATCTCTTTCTTCTGAAGCTGATGAGGTAAAGGATTTTTAATCTTGTTAGAATGAACGATGTAAATAACTAGTGTGTTATTCTTAGCTGTGTTTAATTGAAGCCGTTAAAAATAAAATTAAATTTATCATAATCAGAAAATCCGTTTTTATAATATTTATCTTTAAAGTAAATGTTGTTAAATTATTGACCATTTGCTAGCTGAAAAAATCAAAATTTTAAGCAAATATCGTGTCTTAAATATTCTGATTCGTAAGTGGTTAATAAGTGCTTAATAAATGACTGTTCTTTTTTTGTTTTTTAATTTTGATTCATGTTTTGTATCTGTTATTTATTTTGATTTCTTACTGACTTGATATTATTATTATTTTTTTTTTTCTTTTCTTTTTTCTCTTTTTTTCATTTTAGTTTTCCCTGTTATATATAGATTGCTTACAAATGCACTGCAAAGCGAACTTTGCATTTCCATATACTGGAATAAGAAAAAATTTATGTTCGATAAATTATTGTTAGGAAATATAGCATATTTCTACAAAGCTACAGATTGTTTATCATGACAATATGTCAATGAGGGAAGATTGAAATTGAAATTGTAATGCAGAAAATGCTCATCTGCATTTCATGTACGGGAATGCTTCAATAAGAAACTTACTTGCATAATTCTGTTTTATGTAATATAAAAAATTGTCATGCATTACCTGATTCAGAAAAGATAAAAGTATGGTGTGTCAAACGGCATACATTTATCTTTTCTGTACATTAGTTATATAATTGGCATGAAAGAAATAGTCAGTTTTGTGCCACAAACGTTCTAGCTATATAATTATGAAAGGCATTACAATAAGATGGGAAGGAGCACTGCATTCATAGTTTTATCTTTAATAAAACCTTAGAAAAATGAGGGGGATGGAAGAGAGTCATTTGTGTAGACTGCAAACTAAGAATGCAACAATCATCTCATTCAGTTCAGCTGATCTAGCAATGAGGATCAGTTTTGTTTAATAATGTGCTGAGTATAACTAAACATGAGAACAGATTATCTCTTTCTCTTATCAGATAATGTGTGATAAATATTTGTTTTGCTAATAATAGGTTTTGCCAGCTTCTCTTTCTGTGCATAAAGCTTTTTATTATGTCTTCTCAACATATATGGTAATTAAAAATGAGTTTTAAAGAAATTATATTTCACTTGTGTCTGTGTTGGGATTCAAGCAATAGAACAAATATTTCACTGCGTAGATAAGTGATAAAATAGCCAACTGAATAGCAATAAATTACCTAAATAAATATTTTAGTTTAATTTTAATAAATATTTCATTGAAGTAAAAATATTTTAGGATGTGTTTCTGCTGAACTGGCTGAATCTCACCACTAATTTATGTTCCATGGAATGGCACTAAAAAAGTAATGATATTCATTATAAAATAACAAGGCTCGTGCGGTCCATAGGTTTTTTGGAAATGATTTTTGGTTTTTAATTTTGGCCCAAATTAGCGAAAGGTTCTTAAATTTACTTGTCTGACACTTATGTTTTTTACAAATGTTATTTTGAGTGGGAATTAACATTTTGAAAGATTTATTAATTCATTGACAAATATGTATTTGATGGGTATCATTTGAATTCTTTCTTATTTCTTAATAGGACACGAAGCCCTGCCTCGATTGAAACATTGTTTTGAAATTATTTCTTTTTTGAAATGTTAACAGGTTTTTTGAAATTTTTCTGGAATAGTAGATCTATAAATCTTGCTTAAAATTCTTGTAAGCTTTCCGAGGTGCAAGGTATAAAAATTATTCCTGCCAACTCTATAAAAGCAAACAGCCAGAAGATTTTTGAATAAAAAAATTCAGAAAAGAAAGTGTAAAGTGAATTTTTAAGAGAAAACTGACACACATTTGAATATTCTGAAACAGTTACATGGAAAAAAACTGTAATAAAAAAAATAATAATAATAAAAATTAAATTAATTTTAAAATAACTAACTTTTTTGCTTAGCTATAAAAATGATAAGGCTTCCAAAAATGAAATATGTTTTCATGGTATTAACAGGTAATTAATGTGTATTGTAGGAAATTCGTGATGAATTTATTTTATGGAACATTTTTTGGAAGAAGGGTGAAAACAAAATTGTTTATATTTTCGGCTTTTTGATACTAAAAGTCTTTTTAACATGTCTATCTTTCCTTTGTTTCCTCTTGACCCACCAGCGGCCGAGTGGTAAAGTCGCTGAACACTGGTAGTTCGGTCCGAGGTTTGAATCCCGCGAACGGGCTGGCTGCATGAGCGTTTTCGTGGTTTTCTCCATGTGTAACGTGTATACGAGCCAGTTTCCCTTAGAAAATCCTCCACAAAGGCATCCCTCCCCTTAGGCAGATAGCCCTCGTGTACTTTGCCATAATTAAATTAAATACACCAACACCACCTTTGTTTTCTCATCTTTTCACTTGACAGAAGTATGAAAAATTGCAAATATAATTATAAACATGTTACATAGACTTAGATAGATACATATACTTAGATAGATCTGTAGAAGGGATTTTTTCTATTAATAAAGAATTGAAAACTGGTAATTTAAAAGATTCATCTTATATGTCTCATTGCATGCTACAACAAGCCATTTTGTCACCTGAGCCCCATTTACATGCCATGCTCCTTCGCACAGCTGCCATTAGCAAGAGGAGAAAAAGGAGACATGAAAGAGTTTTGTCTTTTAGGACCCGTTTAGAAGACCGCCGTCTTCCTTCCGTTTACACTTAAGCCTCTGTGAACAATCATGTCTCTGAATTGGCCGATTTCTAATAGTGTTTACACATTTTTAATGTTATTTACTGTTGTTAATTCCGTAATCTGTACTTTTGCAACTGGTACTTGAACTTTCATAATGGTTCCTGAAAAATATTTGCATTTTAATTATTATTATTATTATTATTTTATAAGCTGTTATTTAGTTCACTTTTGGTGCTTGTCGCTATGGTTCAAAGATGGTCGTTGATTTTTAAACTGCTTCTCAATAAGATATAGAACTCAAACTTTGTACATACACTGCTTGTGGATGTGGTGTTACACTTTTGATTTTTAGAGAATTAGATTTTTTCAAATTTAAAGTTGAAACAATTTTTTGCAAATGATAACAAAAACAAAAAAAAAAAAAAAAAAAAAAAAAACTGATAATCTCAGAATATTATAGTTTGCACCATAAGACATAGTGGAGGAAAAAAAATTAAATGAACTTTTAGTTGATCTTTGGATTATGGTAACTTAGCGATTTTTTGGCGAAAATTTGGCGACCAACTCTGCTACAGCAACCCTTTGTTTTTTTTTCGCCGCCATTTTGTCTTCACGAAGTAAAGACGTTTCTTTTCTTTTTATTTACTCAACACTTTTTCCAGCAATCTACTAGCCGAATCACACTTATGCTAGAAATTTTATGGAACAAAACTGCTTAATCATGACAAATATTAACTGCAAAATTGGGAAAAAGTGCAGAATTGCAAACTCCTTGCCACGTTTTTCAAAATCGCACATACACAGTAACCATGTACACGTCGACTTATTTTTACTTAAAAAAACATTCCAGAATTGCACAAAAATGGCATTGCGCACACTCTTGACTTTATCCATCTAAACTGCTATTTTCTCATAAATTACAAAAATGTGCATGAAAATGCAGGAAAATTTCGTGAATCTTTAAACTCAGTAAAAAGCACATATATGAAACACATGGACAGGAAAACCTGATCGCGAAAAATTATATACCCTATCGAAGGATGAACATTTCCACGTATAATATAAATAAAATATCCAAAAACTTTTACCTCTAAATTATCTATTATAAACGTCACCAACGAATTCATAACAAAACATTAAAAATGGTTACAAATACTTAGTGTCAAATATTTAAATTATTTCCATGCACGTTTACTTCAACTCATACGTATACCAAATTGCTACAAACATAATTCACAAAATAACTATCATTTAATTAAAAAATATAATTAAACCATGTACACGTCGACTCTCGACTATTTTACTTAAAAAAAATCCCAGAATTGCACAAAAATTGCATTGCGCACACTCTTCACTATATCCATGTACGCTGCTTTTTCTCATAAATTAGAAAAATTTCACAAAAATGCATGAAAATTTTGTGAATCTTTAAATTCGGTAAAAAGGACATATAGTATGAAATTACCTGATCGCGAAAAAGTATGTACCCTTTCCAAAGATGAACATCTGCACGTATAAAATAAATAAAATATCCAAAAACTTTTCCCTCTAAATTATCTACTATAAACCTCACCTACCAATTTCTAACGCAAACATTAAAAATGGTTTCAAATACTTAGTGTCAAATACTTAAATTCTTTCCATGCACATTTACTTCTACTCAAATGTATTCCAAAATACTACAAACATAAACTCTCAAAATCACGATCATAAATTAAAATATAATTAAATTAAAAACACTACTTAAAATATAAATAAGCACATACATTAAATTAATAAAAATTAGCTTACAATCCTAATTACTTTAAACTAAATTATTGCTAATAACAATTTTCCAATAATACCATATTAATTTATTTACTTCTTACATTTAGAACAATGCATAAAAATAATATCCTCAAATAATTAAAAATACTAACTTACCTAATCTTCTACATAATCTTGAGTGCATGGCGGATCACAAAATGTCCATTTCACCAGATTTCTTGCACTGCCGTTCAAACTTATCTGTAATATCCTTCCTTTCACACAATCTCATTCCATACCCACATGTTGGACATTTCATACTTATCCGCAATTAAGCAATTCTTTTCAATTACACATAAATGGAATAAAAATTTTGGATTTACTTTATATAGGGCCATGGAATCCAAATATTAAACAACACTGTCTCACAAAACATAGAATGAAACTAATGCTGTACAGCAGATATTTTTTTTTAATTTACACCCTTTTCTGATTAAAGAACAGTGATTCGTCCATTAACGTCACATGGCACATATCTCATGATCTCTCATTT